CAAAGCCCCTATGGTCAAAGCTCCGCTGTGGTCAAACCCCCTATGATCAAACCCCCTATGGTCAAAGCACCTGTGGTCAAAGGTCCGCGCACCATTAAATATATATATTCATTTGATAGCAAGCTTAGGAAAAATATAAAAACATCTAACACGAAACTTGCTAGTACAGGTAGACTATACCAAAACCATATCACCGGGATGGTCATGGGAGCATATAGGGAGAAGTCAAGTGTTATTTGTAGTTAGATGGTGTTAGTAGACAGTCATGTGTAGTTATGGTAGGAGTCGTTTGATGTATAAATAAAAACTGTATTATACTGAATTGCACCTTTTGTGTAATTTCACAAACTGTACCAGGCGTATATAAGAATAGGCGATCTCCGCAGAAAGAATATATACAGTATGTTCATGGCGCAGCATTACAGTTATATAGAATATAACATTTCTTCAAGCCCACCTTCACATTTGAAAGAACTCCACCTTTACAGTCAGTATACGTCTGCTGTTAACCATTTCAGTAGATATCACGGTTTACTAATTTAGTGATATAAAGTTAATATATTGAACAAGCTTGTGTAAATTGTCTTACGTGACTTTAAGACAGAAATTTAGTTTACATAGAAATTAGAACAAAAATATTAGGTCGACAATTATGAGCGAGAATATGGTATGTGACATGGGTAGACATAATAACACTTCGATAACATTAAATTAATCACCTGCAATTTCTTATTTTATGCAAAAGTCGGCCAAGATTTTGACATTAGTTCAATTTTTTTTTCTTGTCGCCAGAAAACACGAACTAACTTGACTTATCGTTCAAATCGAGAGCCAAAAATTATTTCATAAAATCAATCAACCGAAGTATCAAATTACTGTTCGTGTATTGATCAAGCGACGACCGTGTAAAATTACAATTTACTTTGACCTACCTTACATGTTGGAGACAATTAGATAGAACTTTTTATTAATTAACACAAGAATAATTTGATGCCGTACATCTATTATGGTGCGTGCAGCGTCAAAACGGCCAATGACAAAACGGCCCCGTCAAATTGACCCCCGCCAAAATGGCCAGCGGCATATGGAGCCCGTTATAAAGGCTCCCGATAAATAGGCTCCCGTCATTTAGGTTCCCGACAAATAGGCTCCCGTTATATAGGCTCCTACAAAAGGGCTCCAGTCAATAAGGCTTCTGACAAATAGGCCCCCTTCATTTTGGCTCCCAACATATAGGCTCCCGTCATTTAGTTTTTTCCACAAAACGCCCCCGTCATTACGACTCCCGTCAAATAGGCTCCCGCCATTTAGTTTCTTCACAAAACGGCCCCCGTCATTACGACTCCCGACAAATAGGCTAGCGTCAGTTTAGCTCACGACAAAAAGGCTCCTGTCAATTTGACTCCAGACAAAAGGATCACTGACAATACCGTTTCTGTAGAGACTAAGTCTCCCGGCGAAGCGGTCTCACTGAATATGACACTTGCCAGTGGGACCCCTTCATCAATATTCTTTAGAGTTAATTTATCCAACACTTTTAAGTAATACAACGTATGCATCTCTTATTCGGCAGGCCTTGTTTTTATATTAGTTTATCTATTATAAAATATAGTATGTTTTAATTTAAGGGGGCAGTATCACCCAGACATTTGAAAATTGAAAAAAAAATCTGCCAAAAAAAACTATTACACATACACACATAATTTTTTTACCATAATAGTAATTAATTAGGAGCTATAAAACAGCACATAAAAGAAAGTTAACGTATGATGCAAACATTTTTTAAAAATTATTTAACAAAAACTTTTTTACTAAGTAATTTGTGGCTGCGGTTTTCCAACATTTAGGCCCTTCCTGCTGAAAATACACTGGGAGATGCACAACAGCATAGTCCAGGGGTCGGCAACCTTTTGTGACCGAAGAGCCAAAATTTACAATTTGCAAAATTTCCCAGTTTTTAAAGAGCCGCCAACATTTTTTTTTCAATATTATGATCTTTAATTAGGATTTGATATATATATATATATATATATATATATATATATATATATATATATATATATATATATATATAAATGTATGTGTGTTTGTGTGTGTGTGCTTGTGTGTGTATGTGTGTGTATGTGTGTGTGTCTGTTTTTCTTTTATGCATTAGTACACCTTTCATCCGATCGCCATGAAACTTTGGGAAGTTTTGAGAATACTCCTGGAAAAGTTTCTGCGAAAAAGTTTTTTGAATTCGCAGGAGCGGCGCCCCGGTAGCGCACGATTCGATTCTTCTCTATATACTGTATATAAAAATAAAAGTCGATTGCGTTTCGACACCGTTCATCCGATTGTCATGAAACCTTAAAGAGTTAATTAAAACACTTCAGGAGGGTTTGTACAAAAGATCATTTGGTGGTGCATTTTTTGTCAATACACCTTTTGACGCCCGGAGTTCCAGAGCGGCTATGTTAGTACTTGGCATACGTTAATCGGACGTCCTGCATAGCGGGTAAGAGATACTACTATATTCAGCGGTAAAACTACAACAGGCGCAACCACTGACGCCTCGTCCATTGCCCAACACGAAGCACCCCGGGCTCGCCTGCGAGCACTATGGCGCATACGTTCAATTTTAAAAATAGGCTGTACACTATCGACACGATGGGCAGCAATACGTTCATTTTAAACAGCGCTATAGGCTATGGATACAATGGTTTGCTTTAGTCACTCCAGGGTGCGATTTGGCGCCCAGGTCTATCCCGCGAGCACTAAACGCCTACCTTAGTTTTAAGGAGCACCCTATAATACGACATTCGATGATTAAACCGAGCTAAGGTCCGTACGCGGCGCCCATGTGGTAGTATAATCTGGTTCACGAGAACGCCACTTTCCGTTCTCAACAATTAGGCGGTGAGTTAGTAGCGGAGATATTACGGTGAGTGATTAACTTACACTTAAGGCTTTCATACAGCACGCCATGGTGGTAGGCGGTAGTGTAGGTAAGCCCGTGCACCGATAAATATGATCCAAACACAGACATTGTTTATTGTTATATAAATCAGCTTTAGAAAACAAGGAAGTAGCCTACTTTAAAATAGGGAGTAACTAAATATTTTAATAGAATAGCGAGTGTTTATTGTTTATATGTATTATTATATCGTTCATTACCGAGTGTTACAGACTAATAAATCTATATATATAAAGCAAAGTGGTCAAGTTCCCGATTTGGCACGATAGTGCCTTGGGGCGATAGAACACGAGGGCCAGTGACGGTTTGCGGAAAAGTCTACGGAGAGGGGGTCAAAACTGACCTCGACTGACCGGCGCCTTATATGGGCTCAATTACGAAAAAAATTTCCTCCGACGACCCCCCTTGAAATTTTGTGAGGTGGTAGGAGAACGCCTTGGGGTGTCACAAAAAACTTGTCATGTCCGGGAAAATTCGTTAAATGGGTCAAAACTGACCAGTCGTATTTCCCTATATAATCTTTATATTTTTCTGGGAAAAACAGAGGGTGATTTCAAAACGAATTTGAGGGCACTTACCGTCTTTACATCTGGCGAATTTATTGCATGCTCTTAGGTGAATGGCTTGACCTTTAGGGAAAACTGTCGTTTTCACTCAAAGCCCTCGACGAGGGCTAAAAAATGACCGCGAGTGAAATTCTCTTTATATGAGCTCTATTACGAAAAACAATTTCCGACGACGACCCCCCTTGAAATTTTGTGAGGTGGTAGGAGAACGCCTTGGGGTGTCACAAAAAACTCGCCATGTCCGGGAAACTACGTTAAATGGGTCAAAACTGACCAGTCGTATTTCCCTATATAATCTTTGTATTTTATGGGAAAAACAGAGGGTGATTTCAAAACGGATATAAGGGCACTTACCGTCGTTACATCTGGCTAATTTTTGTATACACCTCTATAGATGACTACGCCGTATGGAAAAACTGTTGGTCAGACTTAAAGCCCTCTAAGAGGGCTAAAAATGACCGCGAATGAAATTCTCATTATACGAGATTTGGTCATTTGGTCTATGAACAGGGGAGGTAACTTTTTAATGTAATAGTTTTTAAATATTTTGTATACTCTTTTCAAGAAAAAAACAAAAATCATAAAGTATAGCATTGTTTTAAATAAATATTTTGTTATAAATAAAGTTTTGCATTGTACTGAAATTGTAAAAAATAATTGCGAAAGTAATTTATTATAATATTTGATTGATACTATTAAGAAATCCCTTGCAGTTCTAATTACCATGCGAGTAATAATTTTGCGAATAATCCATCAATATTTGTCTAGCATTAGATTAAATTTAAATTACTCCACTGTATAAATTTACCCCCTAAACATTTAACATAGCAGCCAATCACCTATTAATTAATCATTCAATTCCTCCATTTTTTTGAAAACCTAAGCGAAGCTAGGCAGTATGCCTAGTTAATAATAACATAATTTTAATAATTGTGCTTGGAGCTAAAGAGCAGCATCTTGACATCAAAAGAGCCGCATGCGGCTCGCGAGCCGCAGGTTGCCGACCCCTGGATAGCCTATCGCTGGAACTAGAAGATATCCATTGTGACAAATTTTGAAATTTTTAGAATTTTTCAAAGTCAGACCAAAAAAATTGAACTTAGAAATTTTCTTTTTTTTTTCAATTTTTATTTGCAATTTAAAACAAGTGCAACAACATCAGCATATTTTACATTTTTCTTAATGTTTTAAAAAAAAAACATATCAAGATGAATTTACAAATGTATACACTTTTTTTACTAAATTTTATCATCTAATGAAACCATTTTGTCCGGATGAGCGTATTAATAATAAGTATGTACATGGTTATCATATTTGTTTTATATATGATGTTATACAAAATTTTAAGGGATAATCAGTAAACAGTGTTAAAGTAAAATGAAATTGTTGGAATCCGGATGAGGAGGGATTGACAAAAATCGTTTAAGTGGTGAGTAGGCTACAGCGTGTCATATTTGAAGATTTGTCCTTCTCGCTGTTTAAGTTCTGTCGTCTGCATATATGTAAGAAATGGATCTGTCTGGGTTGAGGATGTAGAATATTTGATTGTGGCAGGGGTCGTTGTCGGGGTGCTGGTCGTTGAGGTGTTTTTCTATGTCGTATTTGGTGTATAGACTTGTTAGGCAGTATCCACACTGGAAGACGGCGGTGTCTGGGTGTTTTAGTACGTGGTGCTTTATTGCTCCTCTGCATTTGATCAGATTGTTGCAATGCGGGCATTTACTCGTATCAGGATGGGAAGTTTTTGTATGTGTTTTACACTCGCTGGCAGTACTGAAACTGTGAAAGCAATAACCGCAGCTCTTGTCTTTTCCAGGAGTTAAAGGTTTGGGAATTTGAATTGGTTAAGTGGTAGTTTTGTTGTTGCGGCTGGGTTTCTAAGGTGTTTGTCAGGCGATCGAAGATTTGATTCGCGAGTTTTTTTGTTAATTTTCCTTGTTCTGTGGGGCTGATTTCATTTTTTCCGACGTTTTCTTTAACTTGCTTTCGCGTCTGTTTGTTTGGTTCTCCAATCAAATCTTGCGATCGATATTTCGGGCACTTCCCAGTTAGCTAGCGCGCTGAAATTTTCAGGGAAGCTTTGTTTCCGATGACCATAGAATATTCAATTGTTATTATTACTAAATTGATCCATGGAAACATTTTATTGAGCATTTTAGACCGCTATATAATTGTAGTAAAGACGTGGAGAAAAGGGGACATAACCCAGTAACTGTAATTTGATGAAAACAAGGTTCGGTACTCTCCCTCTTTGCTTACTGAGTAGTGTTCACGCGGTGTTTGTGTACAAACAACCGTAACAACTGGTGGCCAGAATGGGGGAGACGATATGGTCGAGTGGTTGGGCACACGATTGCTATCCCACTCGACACGGGTTCAAATCTATGTGTTCTAGTCAGTAACGTATTCACACAACGTGTTTTTTAAGAGTTGTCTTTTTACGAGTTGTCTTCGTTTACCCAAAAAAAAGTGAAAAGATAAAATCGATAGCAAGATTTTAATGCAAACAAACAGACAAAGACTAAAAAGTAGAAAATAATAATCATTAAAAAAGTTTTAAAAAACCCACGTTTTCTGATTGAACTAAAAAGTAGAAAATAAATGCTATACATCACAATAATGCAAGCGATCACTCTACTATAAGCGATCAAAAACGTGGGGCGCCGTGATTTTCTTACAGTTTCTAATACTGTTGACTCTCTACAAGCTCCCTAATAAAAGTCAATAGTATTATCTAATCAATAGTAATATAACTTTTGCTTCGGCGCCCCACTTCGGGTAAGCCGTACTTGGGATCGCTTTTTTGGTTCGACAGGTTAGGGGTTACCAATGTTTGCTGCGGTGTGGGTGGTGCTCTAGGTGGTTCTGTTAAAATTGTCTGTGAGGATGGTTGTTGAGTTGGTTCCTGTATTGTTGACAGGTGAACATTGGGTGTTGACTCTGGTGTTGATGATTGGCAGTGGTTGGTCCAGTGTCTGTCCGAGCCGCACACCTGACAGGCTTGACGTCTTCCTGGCAGTGCGATGAGGATATTACGTGTTGTGTCTTTGTATGTAATTTGGATGTAGTGTGGGATGTGTTGTGGATTGTCGTTCTGGATGGTGAATCTGCGATTGTTTGTGTGCGGGATTGTGGTTATTGTAGTTGTAGATTTGCTGACTGTTTGCAGTGCCTTAATCAGTGTTTCGTTGCTCAGGGCTGGCGGGACCCATCTAAGGGTTCCGATGATTTTGTCCTTGTGGTATCTGTCGAAATTCAAAGTGTATGGGCCGTGTGTTTTTGTGGTGCCGTCCAGATCCGCTACATCAAACTCGTTGGACGAGAAGTACCGGGTATCCCCACGTCCATAGTTGAGCAGCAGGATCTGGTGTGGGCTATTGATATTGCGCAAGAGGAGACCAGGGATGTTCTGGTGGTTGGTTGATTTTATGGTGACTTGAATTACTGTAGGCGAGTCGAAGAGCTCAGGAGCTATTTCATCAGACTGGTCGATTGTGATTGTTGTCTTGATATCTGAAACTGAAAGAGTTTGGGCCCAAGTTTTCATTAAACCACCCGAACCGTAGTCCGGGTGGCTCCTCTCCGGATCTTTTTTCTTCTTCTTCGTTCTGAAACGGATCTTTCGACCTAGAGGGAACAAAATTGGGCGAAACCCCATTGTTGACTTTCGTGATAGTTGCATAGTCCATTTCTAGTGCATGGAGATGAGGACTCGGTGCATTTGCTCAACGTCCCGGCAAGACCAACTTTAGAAATGATTTCAAAAAGTATTTATCCCTCTATAGATTGCTATGAGTACCAACGATATCCATTAACGCAAGGAAGATTTATACCAAATTTTAAGTACTTTACTTATGGTTTCGGAAAATTGTTTACAAAAAAATTCAAAATGTAATAAAATATTAACAAAATAATTTTTTGAAAACATGTTGCTATACATATACCCTACAATTTATATACTGTATAATAGCGGAAGAAACGTTACTACTGCTGTACAATTTTGACATATGAATGTCGAATAGTTTTTTTTGTGTGAATATTTTTGCTTTCCTGCCTTAGTCTGGGTGATACTGCCCCCTTAAGGGTCATCTATCTATGACTTCAATATTTTAGTCGGTTATAGGCTGTTCCAACTCAGTGTGTGGGGAGAAGGGTCCACGATGTACCTTTCTACCTCCAGTATGCTTGTAGGTTTCCAAAACAAAATATCGTTCTCCTGTAAACATCATGTATATCGTACACTATATCACTTCTGTGCTCGCTTTTATGCAACAGATCTTTACTGTTGTAAATTAAACATTATCAAAATTTTAGAATTTGTAGATTTTAGCTGTTAAGGGCTTGATTTGTTTGTGAATTGATGTTTGTTCATGAAAAACAATTTCATTCAGGCATTAAAAAAGTTATAGTATTAGTGGAGGTAGAAAAAAATGGTTACTTTTATGCCAATAGTGGTCATGCCATTCATTTGTCTGGAGCCAATATGTCGGGAGTTATTTTGTCGGTAGCCAATATATCGGGAGCCCATTTGTTGGTAGCTGATATATCGTGAGCCCGTTTGTCGGGAGCGCATTTGTTTGTGAGCCCTTATGTCGAGAGCCAATATGTCGTGAGTCCATTTGTCAGGAGCCTAAATATCGGGAGCTCATTTGTCGGGAGCCTATATGTCGCGAGTCAATATAACGGGAGCCCATTTGACGGGAGCCAATAAGTCGGGGCCCTTTTAACGGGGCTATTTGGACTGGCTCGTTATGTCGGGGGTCGATTTGACGGGGTCATATTAACGGGGCCGTTTTGACGGGGCCGATTTGTTCCGGGCCGTTTTGACAGGGCACCATTATGGTGTAATGTTTTACTATAATAATTGTTTTAAAATTATAACTTTTTACTGTGTAATGACAATATGTTTTAATTCTGAAATTTATTAATATTTTGACTGTTCTCCTTACTATACGCTATGAAGGTCACCTTTAAATTGACGTGTTTAAACGTGCCAAGTAGGCCAACGTAGTTGGCTTATAGTAATTCATTCATGACTAACAGAACTATTTATAGACAAGACCCTGTACAATTTTAGCAGGCAGTGTTTTACCAAACACGTAGTTGTCGTGTCACGTGATATTTATTCGTTTAACATCTAAAATACGACACTGAACAGAGCCATTGTGTGAAACTAGCTCTGAAAAATCACACAGTGGTACACGAGAATTCAAGTATATTAGCACAGCTACATGAGGATTTTTGCAATATATTAAGGGCTATTTTGACTGGGTCGTTATGTCGGGTGTCGATTTGACGGGGTCATATTAACGGGGCCGTTTAGACGGGGCCGATTTGTCCCGGGCCGTTTTGACAGGGCACCAGAATAAATTCATACTAAACAAAAGGCGTAGCTAGGGGATGGCGGGTGGGGCGGCAGCCCCAGGTGGCGACCTTAAGGAGGCGCCGAAATGGGTAAAAAAAATGCAAATAGAGTGTTACTTAGCTTTATGGACTTAATTGTTTTCTACATCAGTTGAAACATTAAAAACGTTAAGAGACCATGAATCAGGAGGTTGGAGGGTCTGCCAATATGAATACTTATACAACTAGGGGGTCGGGGCCTTTTAGCGATCGTGAATAAATATATAAATGGGTGGGGGGAGCAAAGTTGATAGTTCACACCGGGCGCCGGAATGGGTCGCTACGCCCATGATACCAAGCTAATGAAATATGACACCAGGAGATTTAGTGGCGTCTCATGGAGTGTGTCTGTGGGCAGGAGGTGGTTGCGGACCGCACCGGCTTGAAACCAATTACTAGGCACCACCAAATCAAAATACTGTACAAAAATTGTTTTGTTAAATTAAAATATAAAATAGTAAAGAAAACACGGTAACATCAGACATAGCGACGCAACTTTGTTGCGTTATAGTGTAATTGTGGATTCATAAAAAATAATGGCGTCACTAGGTGGGGTGTCTGCCGACGCGTTGACTAATGTCATCATCATCCCCTCCAAAAATGTAGCATTTTTATTCGTTGTCACTCCTCTTCTACTGTTGAAGATGAGACAATTAATTTGAAAACAAACGTTACGATTGTTTAATTTGGTGTCATCCGGAGCGGAAAGCACACTTCTCCACCCACGCCCTTCTCCTACCGCTTGTGCGTTTAGGCTACTGGAAAGAGACACAATGTAAACTCATATATTTTATTTAGATAATTAATTTGTTAAAATATTTTTTAAATTCTTTTTGTCACTGATTGTCGTGGTTTGTTTACGTTCTCAACGATCACACTGTTAAGATTATCGACAATTAAGTTTTGTCGATATGAGATCAGCCGCAAGTCAGTATAGTCAAAGCAGGCTTTCTTTTACCAATTGTCATAAACCCTGATAATAGAATCTAGACCAGTATTGAAATAACATAAAATATTGTGTCCTAAAATTCTCTGAATAGAACCTAAAAAATAGCCTGTTTAAGTACCAGCTTTGGTAACGTATAGCCAAATGCACAGTAGCACTTTTTTTATAGTTAATCGTTTAACACACAAGTTCCCAATATTTTTGGAGAGGTGACCCCATTTTATAAAAAGTAAGTGATCCGCGTCACCTTAGAATTGAAAATTATGATTAATCAATGTTTCAATGCGATGAGTATCATGTTGCATGTTATTAACTAGCCTCAACATTTGCGATTGAGTTTTTTTTTAACACCAATCTCATGTCATTCTCAATATTCAATTTCTTGGTTTTTTCGTAATTGGAGTGGTATTCGAAAATTCACTCTCGCATATATTTAAAGACACAAAAGGAACTAAATCTCGAAAGGCAATCAGTGTCAAGTTTGGGCATAAATGGTGCATACTATATTAAGAGAATCACGGGGAATGGATTAAGTATCAATGCAGTTTCTTTTACTTTGAGTATAATCATATTTTGCTCTTCGAATATATATGTCAGGTACACTCAATACTCTGTTATAGTTTTTAAAGCGACAGCCGGGAAAACAAACGATCGCGAGAATCATGAGATTTTACATAAAATAGTTAACTCGAATAAATATTAAAATATACAATATATGAAAAGTATATAGAATTATTTTGAGAAATCTCTCGTTCTCTCTATTTCTCTGTCTCTCATTCTTTCTCTCTCTCTTTCTCTCTCTCTCTCTTTCTCTCTCTCAATCTCTCTCTTACATACCATTAAAAACTTAAAAAAAAATAATTTGTATAGATAATTTTTTGCTGGTGATTACCCCCCCCCCTCCCCCCAGAAAGCCCTTAGCGACCCCCCTAGTGGGTTTCGACCCACAGTGAGGTAAATCATTGTTTAATATAACCATAGGCACATACAGTTAATTGAAAATAACGTCACGCATCTTATACTGGTTTTAATAAAGAAATATTAAAATTTAACGATTATTTTCTGTCTTTGCTTGTCAAGTTCTTCTAAAACATGTTCAACACGTTCAGCATTTGTATTATTTTTACAAATACAAATACACACATATCTCAACTAGGGATGATACATTAATAAAATTAAATGTATTTTAATTGATTGTTTTTAGGGACACTAATTTTAATACATACTCATTGAATACTCGGCTATTGAAAATTTGAAACGGAAAATGTCATGTCATCAACCGCGCTTTAACGAGACTTGTCCATACATTTCACGATTATATCGAAACCGGTACAGCTGGATTAATCACTATAACTTTGCTAGATACAAAGAAACTAGTATGCATTATTTTACGTTCTGCTATGCCTTTATTAGCTATAGAATCGTCAAACATTTTTGATTGCGGCATAACGTAATGGCACTTATCGAAGTAAATTCTAGCTAATTACTACTTACTTGACGTACGTCTCAAGATAACTGTTACCATAATAGATTTGACAACGTGGTAAAGTGTGAACATTTTAGATCATGACATTAACGTGTAGTGTAGATATGACAACTGAGAGTGTAATCAGATAACGTATGAGCCTGACAGAGGTGCGTTTCAAACATTGACTAAAGCTTGGACTTATAATACGGGGTTCAAAAATGAAAATGTTTACACGTCCCCCCCCCTTCCCTACATACACATATTATTGATTTCTGGTATTGTTAAAAATAAAGCAATTATTATTTTGTGTCTATTGGTGCCGATTACAATGTGCTACACACATTAAGACTATAGAGTATAGAGCAATGTAAAATCCTGAAGCAGCGATCGAAGTGCGTCATTGAATGTTTTGTTCACTGTACAAATGGTTGTTTTAATGCATCCCAGTCTACTCTATGCGTTGTATCAAATAGCACCAAACAAAATAAACAATGACATTCAATGACTAAACCGACACATACATCGCTCCTTGCACCCCTACAGTGGTGTAATTAGCGGCTTTCTATGTCTGGGTGGTGACTAGGCTTGTTCTACTTCAATATTACAAAGAGTGATCAACTGTTACACTCGGCTTTCTAATTATTTTTGGATTTTTTGGGGCCAGTTGTAACACTAATAAAGAACACAATCCTCAAGGTGAAT